CCCAATCCCTTCTCCTCCATTCTCCTCTCGGGATCTTGGGCACGCACGCACACGCACCGGGCGTGAGTTTTAAGCCACCGGGTCCGGGACGCGAACCGCGGTCGACTACATGGGAGTCCAGTGACATAGCCATTACGCTAACTGCTGGTTCCCAATTTTTTTTTAAGAGAGATTTTTTTGCTATAGGGCACATGCACTCACTGGAGAGACAAGAGACACAGCAAGAAATCACCCTCTGGGGGAGTGACCACGCTACAATCCCTTCTCCATTCGTTCAGGATTTTGGACATACACACACAATTACCCAGTGTGTTTTAAGTCACCAGCTCTAGGACTCAAGCCACAGTTGACTGTGGGAGTCCAGCAATATAACCATCACACCATCTGCTGACCCCCTCCCCCTTTTTTTTAACTTGCTCAAGGGCATGTGGGCTCCCAGATGGAGCAGAGGTGGAAGCGAGAAAGCACTGCCCAAGGAAGAGTGTCACGACACAATCCCCTCTCCTCCATTTCTTTTAGGATTTTGGGCACAAACATGCCCAGTATGTTTTTCAAACTGCTGGATCTAGCATTCAAACCAAGCAATCAGCCATGAGGAATCTAGCTGCCTTAACCTTCATGCCACCAGCTGGCCTCCTTCAAGCATTTCTGTTACAGTTCTTTAGATGTGAGGGCAGAAATCTGACCACTTAAATATATATATGTATTTGCTTTAATTTTTCAAGCAGACAGGTCTAGGACTCAAACCGTCAGCTATGTGGGTATCCGGCACTTAAACCACCGCCACCCTCTGGCCCCAGTCTACTTTTCCCCATTTCAAAATGCTTCCCAGATGGGAGTCACCTACAACTGCAGACAGACCTTTAATCTGCGGATAGATGAATGTTTCCTACATCCTGTCCTTGGCTGAGTGTTTCATGGTGCATTGTAAGCCTTTCTCTGCAAATGAAGCACAGCATTCTTTTTTGGGAACAAAAACTTCTGTTTTTAACAAGTTACACCCAAGAATTTATAAATCCACCTGTAACCTACAAGTGTCCACTTCCAGATATCCCACCTTTTGGGGCCAGACCAATGTAAAAACCTTTTACGCAGGACCAGCAGTTGGCACAATGGCTATGTCGCTGGACTCCTATGTAGTCGACCGCAGTGCGAGTCCCAGACCCAGTGGCTTAAACTAAGGCCGGGCACGTGTGCATGCGTGTCCAAGATCCCAAGAGAAGAATGGAGAAGAAGGGATTCCAGTGTAGCCATCCCCCTTGGGGGGCGAGTTCTCGCTTTCTGTCTCTGTCTCTGGCAAATGCACTCACCCTATAGTGAAAACCTCTCCAAAAACAAAATAAAACCTTTAAGCTTATTTACAAACTTTTTGTGTCTTTCAAAACTAAATACTGGAGGAGACCAGCAGGTGGAGTGGTAGTTAAGCCGCTGGACACTCCCACATAGCCAACCACAGTTTGAGTCCCAGACCTAGTGGCTTGCTTTCTCACTTTCTCTCTCTCTGTGTCTCACTCTGGTCAAAATTAAAATAAAATGAGTGAATGAATTAAAAAAAAAAAAACCAAAAACTAAATATTGGGTTGCAGGAAAAGTCATGACACATTTTTGCATAGCAAAAGAGAAAAATGCATCATGACTTTTCCAACGACCCAATAAAAAGAACCCCTGTATCTGAGCACCTTGAGAAACACTTGTCTTCTCCAGGCTTAGGTCATGCGATCTTGCACTTTGAATAAAATGCATTATTATTTCTACAGAAGTTGGCTGTTTCTGTCGATGGTTATGCAATACAAGCCCACCAGTCAGCACAGAGTCCAACTGCTTGCATCCGGGTTTTGCCTTCCCTGCAAGACACTTGAGCCAGGGATCCAAAAGCACCGTGCACAGCAGACAAGAGCATCTGCAGCTTGGGCTGTTTTTGTCTGTCACATGATAACCATGTAAGTGTTCACTGCACCGTTGCTGGGTCGGTCTTTCTAGTTTGAAGCCATTACAAACAGTTCTGCCTGGTTCCTGATTGTGCTATTCTAGGTCCAAACCCTTGTGTCCTTGATGCTTGTCTGGGTTTCTCTTCCTTACAGCCAAATCCCCAACCCAGTCAGATCTACCTTTGTTCTGGCCCCAGACACAAGATGGCCACTCAGGAGGCACAACGGATTTTGCAATACTTTTAATGCACAAAGCAAAAAAATAGGCTGCCGAGGGACTAGTTTTCCTTCCACTGCGAAGCTCAGGTACAGACACAGACAAGTTAAATAAGTGACAGTTTACAGGGCTTTGGAGCTGAGAGCAGGAAATACGGGTTCTCTTGGCAGCCATGGGATTGAGGATTCCATTGTCTGGAAAGGTAAAAATCAGCGTTTTGGGGGGACCAGCAGATGGTGTAATGGCTAGGTCCCTGGACTCCCACACATAGTTCACAGTGGTTCGAGTACTGGACCCAGTGGCTTAAACTCATGAAATGGAGAAGATGGGATTGTGGTGTGGCCATCCCCCCGGGGAGTGATTTCTTGCTTTCTGTCTCTCTTTTTAGCGAGCTCATGTGCTCTATAGCAAAAAAAAAAAAAAAAAAAAAAAATATTTAGTGGTTTTTGTTTTTCTTTGTTGTTGTTGTTCTTAAGAGAGATATTTTGCTATAGGGTACATGAGCTTGCTGGAGAGACAGACAGAAAGTGAGAAATCACCCCCCGGGGGAGATGGCCACACAAAAATCCCTTCTCTATTCTCCTCTTGGGATTTTGGGCATACACATACCCTGGTATGAGTTTCAAGCCTCTGGGTTCAGGACTCAAACAGTGGCCAACCATGTGGGAGACCAGCACCTTAACCACCATGCCTCCTGCTGGCCCCAATAAGTGTTTCTGAAGTATGGTGGACATCTGGTCTACAACTAAGGTGGAGGAGCTCAGGCCAGGCCTTCAGGTGGATGGAATGGAGCTAGGCAGTGCCTGGAGAGAGCCCAGTCCATCTGCGTGCAGCTGGGCAGGACAGCTCCTGGCGTAGGAACGTCTCCTT